TGGCCTACGCATTGGAATGGCAAATAGGCAGCTATAAACGTAAGTTGTCCAAATTTTGTTTCAACAGAAACTCCCAAAGTTTCAAAAACTTTGGTTTCAAATGAAGAAAGAATTTTATGTTTGATTGAATCTATGAAAAATGATGGCAACGCCACCACAGGCTCCATGAAGACGATCATTTCTATAAATGAAATAATTTGCGTCCCTCTTAAACTTATGGCAGGTTTAAGGAACGTTTCAGTTATAACGGCAATAAGCACGTTATGAACTCTCATAAAGTTAAATAGCTCGTCTTCATTATCTTTAAGAGATCGAGCATACCAATTTAAAACATTTAATGATTTAAAATTCATTGCTGAATTTCAAAGTCATGACAATATTGTTCGCAAATTTTACTCCAGTTTGAATAGCATCAAACATGGAATTAGATTTAAGCATATCAGAAATCATGTCAATTAATGATTTCTGTAAAAATTCCATTTTAGGAGCAGTAATGCTTCTTAAGCCAAAATTGTCAAAATTTCCGTTTGAATTCCATTGATTTTAGAATAAGAATTATTTTGATTTCTACCCGGTGCAATAGCAGCATAGGTAGCTCCATTAACTCGCTGAATATTGTTAGCAGCGAGGGTATACCTACTCCCCTGAAAAATTTGAAGCAGGGGTGATATTTGTACCTATGGGTACGAATGTAGAATTTGTTCCTCGCTGACCGTTGTTAACAGCAGAGGAATTTGTACCGTGGTAGCGGTGTCTACCTGTCACTTAGAACGAGAGTGTAGGATCGCTTTGCGAGCCTTACATTCCCAAAAATTTGTGGGTTTCACCACAATTTGAACATTTAAATTTCTTAGGATCTTCCTTCACAGGACAGTCGTCCTTTGGGTGAGAGGAATCACCACAATTCGTGCATTTAGCTGGCATGTAGCAATTTTTAGTTACGTGACCCCATCCCTGGCATTTTCGGCACTGGGTGAGGTTTTGGAAATATCCTCCAGTCTTCCTGAAGTGTTCCCACTTCACTCAGACATGGAGCATAAGGCTAGCTTTTTCTAAGGCCTTATGGTTGTTTAGTTCACTAGACTTGAAGTGAACTAAATAAAAATCATTAGAAATCCCGTTCGGCGAATCGCCACGAGGGGATTTAATTTTAATTTTGATTACTTGAAGTGGCACAACTTCAAGTAATTTTGTCAGTTCATCTTTGATCTGATCCAGGGATTCACCACTGGCAGTCCTTTCATGACAACCTTGAACACACGTTTAGTTTTGGTGTCGTAAGTAAAAAATTTGTGCTGCTTCTCAGTAAGATACTTGAGAAGACATTTAAATCCGTCCAAGGTTTCAGCCAATACACGGCATTCACCCCGACGTCCAATTTGTAGTGAAAACTTAACCTTCACGAAGTTCAAAAGTTCCATGCGAAGAGCATGGAAATCGGAAGTGGTTATCACAATAGGGGGAATCTTTTCCTTCTTGGCATTAAGCCGGGAAAATTTACTAGAATTTTTCTTGGATGGATCATTCTCATCAACCGTGAGCAAATCAAATTGATTGCTCAAATTATTTTCATCAGAAGGGGGATCAAGAGTTTGCCCCTTTCTTTTGCGTTTAGGCGCCATGGCGGCTTCCAAGCAGATTACTATAAGAATCTGAAGGATCGAAGAGGAAATTTCCAAATCGATATCCAAGAAGGATTACCTCGGGTAGGGTCCAAACAAGTATCGAAGAGGAATAAGAGTTGAAAAAGGTAGACATTTTACAGGTTGAGCACTCAAAAGTGATGTTTAAATTTGTTGTAGCTTTAGGTAGTAGTAACATAGAGGTAACTCTAAGAGTAGAAGGTCCCGAACTAACGTGTTCAACTTTTTGGCTCAGCTCTGGTACTCTCTTCGGTCCCAAGCTAATCGATTCACCCCTCGAAACATAGGAAAAACCAATAACCCCTCAATTCATCTGTCAAACTTTCATAGCGAATCAAAACAAACATTGCGTAGTACTAGAATTTTGACTAGAATGGGATACGTTAATCGTTTGCTTGGGACCAATAGGCTAGTCAAGTAGTGAGCCAATTTAAAATCGTTAGTTCCGTATTGATTGTTGGTAGTAACACTTCCTTCAGCAAAAAGCAAATAGATCCGCACGGAAAGAGAGCGCGATGCGGACTGTGTCGTGCACTTTCGTTTTCAACTTTGTTTTGTTAAAATCAGTACTTTAAATACGATCACTTTTGAGAGTACCTTCAACATGTTAAGGAAAATTATGAACTGATTGTCCACAATAGGAAATGGAAAACATCACATAGATGCATTTATTTGCGCTAACTATGATTGTAGTAAAAGGTAGCCCAATGTAAAGCCAACGTAGCCGATTGAAAATGAAATCTGGGAGTGCCTGGGAATCCCACGATAAATGCTTGGAAACAGCGCTATCGAATTTAGGCTATTTAGTTGACAAATGTCTACAGTCCATACAAATTTGCAAAAAATGAATAAAAATTTGAAAAAATTGTATGCACGATTGTCTACGCGGGGGGAGGGAGGTCTAGTTTATGAACAGCCCCTTGGTACCTTTTTCTTTCATTAGGCTGTGACAGTTTATAAAGAAATGTAAAAATGTATCAAACATGTGGAGTGTACAATTTCTTGACAAATGTAAACTAGGGTAAAACGGACAACTTAGTGACCTTGATTGCAACTGAAATTATATTTTTCCAGACCAAATATTAAGTGATATTTATTTCGGAGCTCTAACATCAATAATAAAAACCTGAATTCATCCACCTATTTTGAGATGTGACCTTTCGCACTAATTTATTTTCCGACAAAAACATTTTTTTGTTCCCGGGTGGCATACGGAACATGTCCGTGACCGAGCAGGTATCGAGATATACCTTGAATTGGGATGGATTAGCCTGACATAAGAGGTAAAATACTAAAATAAAATACCAAATTTTGGTATCAGGATTAGGTATTCATGAGTTATTTCCTCCTCCTCAGGTGGGTGGCCAATGTAGTCCACTGCACTCAATATAACCACCAATGACAATGTGTATCAGTTCTCATGCGATGGTTTTGATGATGATGGTTTTGAGTCAATATGCTTTTGACCACTTCCCCGGCGATAATATGTTTGGATGATCATGTTTTCAAATTTTCTTGCGATTTTGTGTGCCACCTTATGGGTTTGTAGCGTTTATGGTCATTTCTAGACCTGTGCTCACTGGACCTCTGGTCTCCGGAAGAATTCTGACCATATCTCCCGAACCAGTTGACCGGTTCCAAATATGTTCGGTTCATAATAATGTGGCTATAGTACGTTTCATGTGGTACTTGTCCAATTTGGTGCAGTGGTTGCCGAAAACCCCGCACTGCGATGATCATTCGCCACAGCTAAATTATTTTTCGCATTAATTTAAAAAAAAAACCCATCTTAAATTCACTGATGAGACAGCGAAACCTCATTCCCATGCTCCTTCTCTGACCATTTCCTCTAAAATGACAACCCTCTAACCCCGAGTAAACCTCGATAAACCGCGAGTAATCGGTCCCATCCATACTAGACGGAGATTTATGCAATACATGTTAGTTACTACAATTAATTATTAATATATTATTTTTCAATTTTTTTTTCAGGCGAGACGTTTCTTTTCTATTTTGATGCTAAATATTTTCATAAATTGACATTTTTAATGAATAATTCACAGACACCAGGGATTTTCGTCCTTATTTTATGAATCGGTCTATCAATTATAACTATACATACCCTTCAGTTTTTTTATTTTTTTTTTACTCTTAACTGGAACAGCTTGGTCAGCCTCAGTTCATATTTACATCTTTTAACCGTTGCACTCTGTAATTATTTCCTACTAGGTATTAACTCTAAAAAGATGACAGAAAATTGCTCATTTTCCACATCCAATCCCACGTCTTACCGCTAACCTTTCAATGTAATTAATTTCCGTCTACAATGTAACAATGTGAACGTACCTACCTGTATAGCAATGTGAAAATGGTGGGAAGCGATGTGGTCTTCTTCATTCAGGCTATTACGTCACAACTGGAACTTTGCATCCGTTCTCAACCTTGAGTTTTCTTTGAGCACTTCCACAGTTGTCAGCTTTCTAAGCTATCGTTATTTGGTGCAAAGTACTACTTTACTCTATGTCCAGCGAAGTCGAGAAAATTATTAACCGGATGAGGAATCGAACCCCCGCCTCCGGTATGGTAAATATGCCAAGCCTTTACTGGCAAACCAATTGGGAGACCCCAAACGATGTGGTACATAATATGAATTCTGATTATCCTTCCACCAGTCACATGAACCCGGCAATCGTACATCCTACACAGTGAACGATGCTGTGGTATAGGTAACGGTTTGGCATGCAATAAAACGTAATGAGCTGAAAATTATGCGATAACATAGATAATTGACCAATAAAACTCATTTAAACGACAAAATGCTTGCCCTAATCATAGAAATTATTCATAGACATACAAAAACACTAGTCAAATTTGGTTTTTCCTATCATGTTCAAATAAAAAGAAGACATTCAGATTATTAGTGGAATATTGAGTAAGAGCAAAAAAGAGTGGGTGTGCCCATTAAATTTCAGTACATTGTTTGCATCCTGACATTTCGCCTACTATTTGCAGACTACATCAGTGTCAAAACTATGAGGAATTAAATGGAAATTAACACTCAAAGTAATTAGAGAAGAGGTAAATCAATATAGTAAGTCAGTGTGCGAGAGGAGAATTTCCCACGGAGGCAGAAAAAATGCACCTGACAATATTACGAGTAATACTGCCGTCTTCTCCTCATCGGTTTCTTAGGTATTGCGGAGAAATCAGTGTCACTTGAATCTCCTAGCTTGCAGATTGGTTTACCTCCCTCTATACTTACCTTGCCCTAATTTTTGCTCTTATAATAAAAAATATATGAATACATCATACATATATATATGCACAAGTGCTAACGCAGTGCCACTTCATCTACAGATATTTACCGGATTATGCTGTGTGATAAAAAGTACGGGCTAACCGTAAACACCATGGCCACGAAAGTGATGCCCACCCTCCTGCCTCAAACTGTGAATCCCTCGTTAAATCTCGAACAATTCATGATCCTTCTGGAGGTATGTGTGTCAAGCAATTTTCGGATCGGACGCGGATTAATGACATTATCTCCAACAGGTGCTCCAAGAGATGCTGGACCAAATCGATAGACAGCAGCGAAATAAGCTGAAACTGGACAACCTATCTCTTCCCTCGCCCGACCGACACCGACCCCTGCGGCATCAGTTCTCCTCTGACAATATGAACGTACAGCAGTTCAACATTCCTAATCTGAGAATTGACCAGCGAAAGACTTCCAGTGCCGAGGATATGGCACGGAAGAATTCAACAGGTACCCGAAGAGGTATTTGAAAGTCTAGACGTGTGCATGCTATATGTGTTTGGATAACCCTTTGTAACAGGTTCGGGTGCTCTAGGTAGCTGGTGGTTTGGCGGCTCACCCTCGTCTCCGGATAGCAATTTCCTGCGGGTGGTCAACGCATTCCCGAATCGACGACTGTCGGACAATACCCTTATGACCCCGAAGATACGGATCGCTCCATCATGTGCCTCCTCACCGGGTGAGTAAATGTTGACTTTATCACTGGAATGTATTCAGAACACAATAACTCCATAGCCGTCTTATTATTCTTCTAATGATTTTGGAACATGAACATGACTTTGTCAAGAAAGTTAATGGATTATGCAAGAACCTTTTTAACGTGTCTTACAAATTAAGAGCCAGTATAGTCAATGAACTTGTACTCACACAAAATTGGTGGAATCACGAAATGTTAAAATCAAAAAGAAAAATGTATCCACCTATGGCAGGATTAGACTCTTCTTACATTTTGAATTCCTATGAAGGTCGTTAGGTAGGAAATTAAAAATAAAAATAATATAGTTATTCCTCGATGTAACGTTTTGACTTCCATCGTTAACAAATCACAATTAACAATTCAATCATGCAAATCAGCATTCCCAATAAATGGGGGATTGTCTCATCTGTCCGATGTTGTTACTACTTTGCTTTATTGAATGATGGTTTACGATAAATCGACGATAAATCGAGGTATACCTGTTTAAACGAATGCTCAATGTTGAAATATTTTGGCGAATTATAGGACACACGGCCGACAGACATTAGGACAAATTGATTTTTTGTTTTGCATTTAAAACTTACTTGGCAAATCATTCCATAAACTAATTTACAGATTCTCAATAAATACTACTATAAAATCAAATAAATATGTCGATGTAATTGCCTAAAATCAAACATATTCATGAAGATGTATTCAAAATGCCATATGTAGCGCGCTTGACCAAAATCCGCACATCTAAGCCTCGCTGGACGCCATTTGAAATTGATACAGAAATATGTTACCAAGTAAAAACGTTGAGAGAAATTTCAAAAAGGACATAACAAATTATGCGTGCTATTTTGAGCATAGTAGGCATTGATAATCAACTATTAAAAGTGTCTTCCGTGTCCCTCGATGCATAAGGATTGCAAAGAATATGGGACAGTTATGCGTATAACGGCAGTATAGGTGTAAACGAAAAAGTTAGTCGTGCTTCAGGGACAACCCGTAATCTAAGATGGCAGTCTTAAATTAAAATTGTGGCCTCCGGATAGCTAATAGGCATCTGCAACCATGCAACAATTAACTCTTCAAGCACCAAACTAAAAATGAACTCGAAACTTTTCTTAATGGTTATATCGGATTATATTCTTTCGTTTTCTAATGTTGTTATATCGTTGGAAAGGTAATTTCATCAACTTTTCATTAATATGTTGGTCACGCACCTTTTTTGGCCACTACACCGTATAATTCAGATTATTATTTTTCATCAAAATTTTCCAGAGTCCAGTACTCTTTAAGTAGTGCAATTAAAAATTCGGCTATTTAGTATTCTACTAGATGTTTACATAAGCTTTCAGGGGAAAATATGTAAGAAGAAATCAATCAGTTCTACCAGTTTCACGCCAAATGAAGAATCTATCTGATGCGACCATCTCCTATTAGCATGAAACTTTGCATAATTGATTGTTATGGTCAACCATGCACATTTTAGCTAAAACTCAACAAAAATACTTGAAAAATGGCAAATTAGATATTTTCAATAAATCATAACTCGAAACCGTCACTTCCAATCGACATGACGTTCGAGACGAATTTGTAGCACAAGTGAATTCTTTTTCAGAAAACAATATACACGGTAAAATATTTCAAATATTTTTTTAGTAAATTTTTGCTCAAAGTCTAGAAAATAAATTTATGAGAATTCACAATTATGCAAAGTTGCATGCAAACCGGATATAGCCGGGTCTAAAATACACTTTCTTGTTATTAGGCTTGGAAATACAATTTAACCATAATAAGAGGAATTCTAGATCAACATTTAAAATAGGCGGATCATCAAAATTTCCCGTAAATCAAAACACATCCAAGCAATGTCAGCAACATCAGCATCTGATAGAGCATACTTCCTTTAACGAATGACATTGCTAGTTTGCGTGGGTGTGTTTAAATTCATTGTTTACGTTTACAGTTCAGGCCAAATGGCCAAATGACGATTCGGACAAACTTGACCTTCTCTGATTTGCATAAATCTACGCATAATTGTGTGTTATGGACAATTATTCGAATAGTGTAATTGTTTTCAAAATTGCTTTTATGTATTTTTTTTTTACAAATTGTAACACAAAAAATTCAGTTCTGAGCGAAATGACTGAGACAAAGTTGTAGAGAAAAATCTCTGTGAAAAAACTATATCTAACTATATCTTCAATAAAAATCTCTTGAAAATGCAAAAAAAAAATACATTGGACATTAAAAAATTGAAAAAAACGTAGATCATGAACTTTTGGTCAAAATTTAAAACTTTTTGCTAGTACGCTTTTTTATGTACTGTCTACAAATAAAACAATATTTGAAATATTCTAAATCATTATCTGTGCAAAAATTACATAAAACTGCTTGTTAACAAGAGTTTAACAATATGACCCGAAGATGATGTTCTACGATTTCTGTCAATTTTCAAGTGTCCATAGTTTTAAACATTTCAAAAGATTGCATTTTTCAAGTAGTTTCATAAATAGTTATTATAAATATTGAAGACATGCTCTTCAAAATATTTCAGTTTTAACTATTTTTTTATTTGTTTTTTTTTTAATTCTTACCCAAAATTATAAAAAAAAAATATTTCCGTGCACAGTTTTCCCAGAAATACTTTCCGTTTCTAAACAACTTAAGGCCCAAACGCAATGTGGACGGAAGCGGAACGGAAACGGAAATTTTGACAGTTGTCACAAATGACATCAAGATGCCTAACCGAAGTCGATTTGGTTCCAACAAGTTTTCAATCCGACAAGTTGGCTTACTCAGATCGGGCTTTTTCGCTGTCATTGCGCTTGGGCCTTTAGTTCAGATGTCATTGGGATCAGAGGTGAAATTTTCGTGCCTCGATTTATTGAAAATGTCAAAGACGGCAAAAAAAATTACAACATACAAAATGGCCGAATGTTTGCAAAAATGTTAATAATTGTCCATAACACACGATTATGCAAACTTTCATGCAAATCAGAAAAGGTCGAGTCAAAATTTGTATTTTTTTTTTAATCCTATTCTGCCTGGAACTGCTCTGTTGTGAGATGAATTGGCTGCCCTTAACTCAGTTTAAAGGTACAGCTACAAAACAAGACCATGCTGGGGGCGTTTTGCGGTGTTGTCTAGGAGATTTTCAAAAGAACCCAATCGTAGCTTCTTTTCACTTATCTCGGCACTATTAAGATTTTCACGTCAGGTTGTATTGGTGCTGTATGTGAGAGCGTATTAGTGAAAATCCAAGGAAAATACATAACAAATCTTTGTCAAACTCATTTTGACAGATCTAATTACATACATTTTTTAGGTTAGACAGAGGAAAATTATTTAAAAAAAAACTTTACACGGCGATGCACCCGCTAGTGTGCGTGCGTTAAACGTCACTATTCGCTATAGTGCAGAAAGCCAAAAGTAGGTAAAGCGGGTCAAAGTAGTTTTCATTTACTTGTGTGCATTCGTGTGGAATTTTCAACTCGCTTTCTACCCAAAAGTAAGTTAGTTGTACCCACAGGTAGGCAAAACGTATTATACTCACCGTTTGGTTCCCATACTTTACTACCCCTATGGGTGGTTTTGCTCCTCCGTTTTTGACAACATAAGAAGGAGAAAAGGGTCAAAAGTAGGTAAAAGTAAACTAGCCTCTGGGTACTTTTTTCTTACCGTGTAGCGCAATTGTCCAGGAGACGTGAAAGGCCAAACTCGTCAAGGTCGTTTGCGTGTTTCAAACGAGTCCAAAAAAGCACCCGATATCACTTTACACCATCCATCGTAGTCTTGATCAGTCTGGTCATCTAACATCTAACAACACCCGCACATCCAGTTTTTGAAAGGATCCTGTAAAATTATAAATGCACATATCAAAATGGTCAAGCCCACTATGCGGAATTAAGGGGCAGGATGATTCTGATGTCTTCTGGCCTGTTAAAATCATAGGTTTAACGCCAAGAACACGATGCCTCCAAAAAACGTGTAGCAAATTTAAAATCTTGTTTTACCACTAAAATCCCTAGGGTCTGTAGATTATTTTGGTTATAAATAGATTCAAAGTAGGGTTTTTTATTTTTTTTTATATAGAGGCAAGAGTCGGTGTGTTTATGGTGTGTTTATGGATTTTGGAAGTGGATTGAAAACTGTAATTTTGATTAATGAGCAAGAATGTTCAACTTAGCCAAAATACAGTGCACAGCAAAAAAATAATTTTGATATCACATCAAAGTGGATGCACTACAATCATGTCGAAAATTTCATGTAATTTTTATGACCACATAAATAAACAAATGCAGTAAAAGCAGCGTAATGTCAGTCCATGCATTGTATTAATTATAATTTTGTCCTTTTTAGCAAGTAATATTACACCATATTTTCGACATGATTGTAGTGCATCCACTTTGACGTGATATCAAAATTATTTTTTTGCTGTGTGATGGGTCCTAAATATGAACACCGGAGATAACTTAATGGTCCTCCGAAAGATCCGGAACATCCATAAAGTGGTGAATCCATTAAACTGATCCTAGAATTCCGCGTTTTTTTTAAACACTTGGAACTGTGATAGGGGAAATTGATGTAATGTCAGCCAAATGCCCCTAACCTTACATTTTTAAAAAGGCTTACCAGTTATTTATATATCGCATCAATTTTTTCTGTATACTCATATCACTCACTAAATGGTTTATGTTTTTCTTCTTCAAAACATCCTTCAATTCTTTTATTGTCAAGGAAGCACTTTGTTTATAACATTTTTTTTCTGCCCGAAATGCCATTTCACCGAACGCCATTTCACTGAAAGCATTTGTGTTGCTGAGTTTAGAGGGGGAGAGGCAGTTGACCACCCCCCCCCCTGCCTCCTCTGGCTACGCCTATAGTAAATAAAATTTTCAATAGCGACCAAAAATATCAATTAGTACCGTCCCAATGACGCGTGCACCTAGATAAAATTGATAAATAGCAGATTTTTAACGATGGGCCCAATC